TTTGTTGTTTCTCATTTTGTTTGTGTACTCAGGAAAAATGCTGCTGTGTTCAGACACCAAATAAAGAGTTTTGCACATCATTACTCAAGTGTGAATCGAGCCAAATAGCAAAGAGGAATTAAAAACGCACGTTCGGATCTCAGCAGGTTAATGTACTAGTGATATAATATAACTATGCAAATTAATCCAGCTCCTAAAAACTACTAGTTATAATAGGTTATATAGTAACATAATAACACTTATATAAGTAACTAAATACTAAGAATGAGAGGTGACAGTGGCTGACTCACTCTGCGACACACGGACCAGCTCGGCTACGTTCCACACTCCCGAAGTCACAAAGCAGTCCTGGAAACTCAAGTTGCCTGGTTAAAGGGAGAGAGAGACATTAGTGAGTTACACTCTGAATGCACACACACACACACACACACACTCAGAAAGGAGCTGACAAACACGTGTGGAAAGCCCTGACACACTGCTGGTGTCGTCCACTGGGCCCATGTGTTTTCTATAAGGTACATCAGGCCTTTGGTTTGGACACGTTCGCTTTCCTGACTGTTGACAGTCCAACATACACAACCAATCAGCTCCAACAAGCGGCTGTAATCTGCACACAGACAGCTATGTAATGGATGATGCGCACTGTGATCTTCATGTATATATCATGCGCACGCATAATAAAATGCACATGTTTAATAAGAGGTACTGGAACACTGATATATACACACGTCCTCGCACATCTGTCCTTTCAGTCTGTTGACACGGTAACCAAAACCTTGATTACAACTTGAAGTTTCACGACTACAGTCATCACTTCTTCAGTTCGACTACGCTGCGCTGTAACCTGTGATGGGTTTAGTCAGTGGAACATTTTCTTAACAGTTTTAGTTTCAACGTCACGATCATCTGACTGCTTGTCTGGCTTTTTCTTTTTCAGCTGTGTTAGCTTCCAGCACCGTGTCGCTTTTATCGACAACAACATGTATGAACAATACTCGACTTCAAAAGAGCTACGACAAACCCTCGACGCTTGTTGCCTGACGATTGACCAATATGCTGAACCTTTGCCTAAATCTTAAATCTAACATTTTAGCCTCACTACGACTCTTGATTTGGAGCACAAAGGCCTAAAAAGAGAAAAACAAGCAAAACTAAATACTGTAAGATGCAAAATCACTTTAAGCTAGCAGCTAGCCAGACAGCAGAACAGATAAATATGCAGCTAACAGAATAAACTGGATATTTGTCAGGAGTCGAGAAACCTGATGACTGATAATGTTCTGGTATCAGCTGACAACCAGTGTTGGTCAAGTTACTTGAAAAAAGTAATCAGTAACTAATTACTGATTACTTCCCCCAAAAAGTAATCC